AAAAAATCGGTACCTACGTGTTATCGCAATTATTTTAGTAGAAGTCACAAATTTTCCGAACATGTCAAACTCTGGCAACCATGCGCATAAACATTCTTCAGCCAACTGCTCAGAAGAATCCTTCAGTCAAGCAACGTCGCTGTTTTCGTATGCGTTCTTTTTGTTGTACTCCATGGTCTAAAGGCTTTTATAAACAAATAATAATATTTTTGTTTTAAACTCAGTTTTAAATATTGCTTATGGAATTTGCCAGTAGTGGAAGAAACTGCTATAAAAGTCCTGCGGGAATACGCTATTTTGCAACAAAAATTGCTGAAAGGAACAATGAAGTTTGATAGATAGCGAATGCGCAGTGTAGAGTTTGTGCGATTCTTTGACGTCTATTTAAACTAAAACAGATCACCGTGTACATGCAGTGCCTCCTAGATTATATATCTAGGAGGCACTAGTACATGCCGATCTTCCCGGGAATCGACTCAGGAGAATTCCTTGGAATCTACTGGGTCGGATCTGTACCTAGGCAGTCTCGGTCACGGTGGTATAAAATCAGTCTTCAAAGGACTAGAACCATCTTTTATTCGGTATTGGGTTCAGGCTCGACGAGGACCGTTATGGTACTGTTCTGTTGGCTCCTTCAACTAAAGCTAGATGGTCATACTTTTGACCAATCCTTGTGGGTTAGTTCCATTCGGTCCTTATGAGGGAACTGACATAGCGGATGAAACACCTTGTGTATCGAATATATTCGTTTCAACCGAAGTGGTGATCCTGAAGCAAAGATGCCTTCGTATGCTCAGTTCTATTCCTTTTTTATTCTATCCAAGGCTTTGTATAAAGCCCAGTGAGGTCCGCGGGGGCTGCTCCCGCTTGGATGGTCTTTGGCGCGTCGAACGTAAAATCGGGAGAGGCGCAATCATGCCAGAATAGGAGTTCGTCGCTGGTGTTGTATGTACATGGGGAGAAGAATAACATTAAAAAATTAGGGAAGGATTTTGAAAAAAAAAAAAAAAAGAAATAGTGTTTCATTTTTTAATATATCATATGATCCTTAGTTAATAATGAAATTTGTATTTTAAAATGTGTTTTATATAATATTTTTAAAAAAGTTACGAAAATGCCAACTTGCACCCGATAAGTACTTTTTACCTTTTTGTTTGTGAAAGAAAGCTAAATTCCGCCAAAATGGTTGCGTTAATACATAAGTACCAAATAATCTTGAACATAAGCTACCCGCTTGAGAAATTCTACGGAAAGATATAAAGGGGAGTGGTCTTTGCCACCCGGCATCGCAGTTCCAATGGAAAGCAAAGAAAAGAGAGATTGGATCAGGAAGACCCTATAAATAACATGAAATCACGGCGCACCTGGTTAGAATGAGGAATTTCATGTAGAGAATACAAGTAATTCTAAGCTACAATTCAAATTAGACAAAGTACAAATGCAGATCATGAAATTCAATGAACATAATGCAGTACATTAGATGTATATAATACAACATGCAAGATTTGAAATAAGTGTAATGAAAAGGTTTCTTTAATGGTGAGCACGAGCCATTTTTAGGATTTCGCCACTTCTAAGACCAGAAATGGTGGTTATTTTATTATGGGGGCACAAAACAGGCGGCCGCATGTGCCTTCTACTAGGGGACAGTGCACTAGAAGGAACAGCACCCAGACCTGGTTAGTATAAGGCTGCTTAACACAGTTAAATTCCGCAACTCTTAGAGAAGCCCCAAGTAAACATAAAGAGATTCTATTCCTGCGAAGCGTGATTATAGTATATCCCCATGCAACATGCATTGAACTCCGCGCAAAGACATTTTTCTTCTGGGAATCTGCAGAGGATTCCGTACCTCTCCAACATCTGCATTAAATGTATTGGCAGGTCTTCCACCCCTGCACTTGATAGTACAGAGCGAGAGTGTTGTGGCGAGAGTGATCAGACTAAAATAAGACGCTACTATTTGTATTAAGACTTATGTATCTTCGGACTACGAGAATCACATTGCCCACTCTCCTTGCCACCCTACAGACTTCGACACAGAAACAAGCTGTGATCCTCCAAGTGAATTACAATTCCAAGTGAATCCTCAACCGTCTATACTGATGGCTCCAGAGGAGAGCTCGGGGCTGGCAGTGCCTGGTGAGCAATGGAGGGTGACCACATAATCCATTCCTGGGCTAAGAAGTTTCATCCCAGTAACTCGATGTTTCGGGCAAAAGTTACAGCCCTAAATGCACCTTTGGAGTTTACTGCTACCAATGGTAGGTATAAAGTTATTTACACATTGAATGTCAAGTTTGCAGGCCATCCAGAGCGGCCGCAGCTGACATTCTATTGTCAGAGACATACAAAAACTATTAATTTCGATTCCTGCAAGTCTAAGGTCCAAGCTTCAATGGGTTCCATCCCGTACGGGGATTAAAGGAAATGAAGCAGCAGATGTGATTGCAAAAGGCGCAGCCAATGAACTCCACATGAGTAGCATTTGTGTGCCCCTTCCGCACTCATATTTGAAAACCACTCTAAAAGGTGAACTAATGAAGCAATGGCAAAACTACTGGGAGACAAGCACTACAAGAAGAATACTATATAATTTCCAACCAAAAGTTAACCAGAATTTAAATAGCAGCTCTTCGCACCTCACACAGTATCTGATAGGGCATGGCCCATATATGTCCTATCTTCACAGATTTCGCTTAAGAGACAGTGACTAATGTATTTGTGGCAGTACTGGTGATCCAGATCACTATCTGTTTGTTTGCCCGCACACAGCGAATTCACATTTAAAAAGACCAACTGCAATCAATATGCCGGCATGGTTCAAGAATACAATTAAGAATAAATATGCGCTCAGCCGCATTAGAGACTGCATTACCATTGCTAAAAGCATTGCTGACAGCCTGGAGTGACTTCTTTCCTTGGACACCATGTTATCAGCAGCCCGCTCTGTAGATATATTAATTTACTTAATGTCTTGTTTTTTCCTTTTGTTTTGCCTTGATTTATTTTTAATTATATTTAATTTTATGATTAATCCAGAACTCCTTTAACGTATTCCACAATTTGTAATGTATTTGTTCCTCTTTACATCTGTACCTGACTATATAGCATATCCTCAATATAACTGTATGCCTAACATGTACCGTAATAGTGTATGCCTAACATGTACCATAACTGTATAACTGTCTGCCTAACATGTAACCATAATAAGTGTTCCCCTTGGTCTCAGTAGTCCCCACCATGCAACTTCTTTCCATATTATGGTCCTTATTTCAATGTTTCTCGTTTAGCGTGGTCAATGGCAGGAGGATACAATAATAAGCTCTTTATATTTACTTTTGCATTTATTTTTTAATTCCATCGACGGGATCCAACAGGCTGAAAAGCACCTAACTCAGGGGACCTATGACGGAACAGACAATTTACATCCATGCCTTCTCCGGAATTTGAACTGGGGCCCTTCGGTATCGCAGTCGGCTTCCCTAACTACTATACCGTCAAAGTGGCTATAATGAGAAGGTAAAATATTCTTGCGTACGGTACGGATTCGTAATAGATTGAATGCACAAGTCTGATAAAAAGTTAATAAAATTTATTCTTATCACAAGAAATGTAATAAAACCCTAGATTTTTCCTCAAAGATATTCGTACAATATCACACAGTAGTTATATTTTAAACTACTAAAAACGTTAAATCGAGCGCAATCCAAAGCGCAGAGAAAGCTAATCCGATCTCAAAATTACAGCAGCTACAGTAAAAAACAATTTAGTAAACAATTGAACAGAGATGTTTCTCTCCGGCATTTTAAAGCTTTTTAATCGTGCACGAGAACGTTCTGGTAATTTCCGTCTTCTCGAGATTTCTGGAAAGCAAAAGAGTAGAATTATGGTCACAGCTATCAATTGCATTTATTCAGTTTAAATATAAATTACAAGATACCTATTTATTAAATCCTAAAATACGTGCTTCTGTATTTTTACTTTTTCGGCGTACTAAATGCAAAATCCGTAACCATATGAATCATACACTGGGGAGGTAATTTTATTCAAAATAATTACAAGACCGCAATAGTTTAGGTCAATGGTCTCCAAACTACGGCCCGACCCAGACATGCCCAGTATCCGGCTCGTCACACTTTATTTTGATTACATTATATTATACGTTCTGTTTAATGGCCACATAAGGAACACAGTAACTCACATATATATTGAAATTTAGCATTTTAATTGTAGATTTATCTTGAAAGCTTGCAATGAGATTTATGTAGTTATAACTTTCTGATGACAATTGTTTGTAGTTGTGGATCAAGTTTACTGTGAAAAATATCAGCAGGACTTCAAATGTTTATCAGTTAAGTTGCATCTATAAATATTTTTTACACATTTCAGTTTGGTGAATGTTTTTTTCACTCAGATAAATAGTTCCGATAGTGGCAAAAAAATACTAGGAGCAAATTTAAGCAGCTAATCATCAGGGGGGTAGCTAGGGTTTCCAGCGCCCGGGGACAATTGAGGAATTTGCGCCCCTTTCTGTGTGCCAAGAACGGAAAACATTTCATTAGAAAATTTCGTAGCATTAATTTGGCGCCCCTTGTATGCTGCGCCCGGGGACAGATGTCCCCCCTTGCCCCACCCTAGCTACGCCACTGCTAATCATACTGTGTGAGTAGGAAGACAGCAATAACGAGTTTAAATACACTGGCTGGCCATTAAAAGTGCAACACCATGAAAGAAATCAAATACAAAAAAGATATTTAGTGTACTTAAACAGTATAGCATGAAGACAAAATCATTAAATTTGTAAGCAGTTTGATGTTTAAAGATGGGGCCGAAATTAGTAGAAACAGATGCCAGTCCTGGCAGCTAAAATGGCCCTTACCCGGTTAGGCTTGGATGACAGGAAACGGGCAACTTATTCCATGCTGCTTCAAGTCTATGCCACACTTCATCAACCGTATTAGCTGGAGCGGAGTGGCGAGCCAGACTGTCAGAAACCCATGACCAGATGTTTTCAGTGGATGACAGATCTGGAGATAGTGCAGGGCTGGGCAGCAATCGAAAACACTGATGATATTATCGTATTAATGAAAGAGGACTCTTTGGGAAAATTGGAAATGTTGTTTCAGGAAATTACTCCATATTTTGAAAAATGGCAAACCGAAGAGGGTCTTCAATATTGTTTAGAAAAAACGAATGCTATGTTCTTTCCTAGGGGTGGAAGAAAATGTAGAAGCTCGCAACTCAGGTTCAATGGAACAAGGATAAAGTTTGTAGACTCAATGAAATATTTAGGAGTTACGATTGATAACAAGTTGACTTTTGCTGAACACTTTAAGGAGATCAATAGGAGAACCAACGATATTCTTTTATTTTACAAGCGTTCCTTTACAGCCCACACCCTAAGTTTTAAGAGCAAAATAATCTGTGAGATTTACAAAAATGTTGCTATTCCTATCATCATGTATGGCATAGGCTGTTGGGGTCCCAGGGCAGGGGAACTTTGTCGTATACGCATGAAACTAGATACAATACAGAGGAGCTGGTGTTTGGCAATGACTCGTTGTTTTAGGACGGTCTCCACAGAAGTTCTATGTGTTCTGGCCGGCACTCCGCCGCTCTCCTTACTATACAAAACATATTATGACAAATGTTTGTTAAGAGCTGGTAAATTAGATTTTAAACTATATGGAGACAATTTGATAACAAGATATGCTTATGAAAAATTTAATAGGTTGTTAATTCACCCTGCATATAATATTGCTTGTAGCTTTGACAGAGATATTCCCAATATTAGCATGTATGATATTTATACTGATGGATCTGGCCTCGATGGAAGGATTGGTGCTGCTTTTGTAGTGTACTTTTATGGCATTGAAATTCTTTATGAACAATACAGATTAAACTCCTATAATTCGGTTTTCCAAGCGGAAAGTTGCGCTCTAGAGAAGGACTTGCAGTACATTAGTTTTAAAATCCCACGTCCTTCCATTGTTAATGTATACAGTGATTGTCAATCTTTGTTACAAATATTGTGTTGTCCTGTATCTACCAATTTTACTGTTTATAATATAAAGCAATTATATGGTGAAATTTCTGATCAAATTGATATTAAACTGCATTGGGTTAAGGTACATGTCGGGCACGCAGGAAACGAGAGGGCGGACGTGTTGGCAAAGGAAGCAGCTCTTTCTAATAGTTCCGAATATATAGAAATTCCTGGCTCAAAGAAAAGAGCGAATAGTGTGATTTTAGAGAACTGTTTGGACGACTGGCGATTTATGTGGGTTAGTTCAGAAAGGAATAAAGATCATTTACGATTTATACTGTAAGGATCTTAAGTTTTACTAACGTTTATTTTATTTTAAATCTTTACTATCACTTCTTATTTTCTACTTCCGGCCAGAATTATAAGCGTTAACGTATTTATGCAAAATTTGTCTGGCGAACGCCAAGTATTTAAGTTGTGGCTTTTTGCCAAGCGAGAGAGAGGAAGCAGTTAGTCGAAGCAGGGCGCTTACCTTACAAGTTTACTCAGTTGCTGGTTGCCTTCCAGGCCAGAGGTTTAATCCTCTTGATAATTTTAAACGTATTGTAGTGTTCACAGTTCTCTGTACTACATACGGCTTCCTGTTAATATAAGGCCAATTTTCCACGTTTACTATTTTAAAGTTAAATTAGAGTTTAGTTTTTATTTTTATATTTTACGTTTAGACCACAAGTAGTGGGTCTTTGTATTCCGAAGTACGGAAGTTATTGTAAATAGAGAAAAATAAAGGGTTTTGTATACCCTTCTTGTGTATCCTGTCTACTTCCCACAGTTATTGAACATAGCTTTAGTAAGCTCTCTGTTCCGAGTCAGGTCCTTGCATGTTCCCGAAGAAAGTAAGACGGAACATTGAACCTGATAGTGGCGCCCAACGAAGAAGATAACCATGGCCCGAGTTTCAAGAAGAACCTGTGCTGCCTGCAGAAGCGGCTCAGAATCCAGAAATGCCAGCTGCCGCCCTGGAAGGATTTGGTTACATCGTCCAGACCATGCGCGCTTCGATGAAACCAGAAGCAACATTTAATGGAAACTCACAGGTAACCAGTTTTTTGGAAAAATTGGATGACCACTTCATGCTCTACCCCGTGCACGAGTTTCAAAAAGTTACCTTAGCTACCAGCGCTTTGAGGGGCCAAGCGCTTAACTGGTTCAAATGTATAGGCAGAAGTCTCTTGGGTCAAGCAAGAAGTCCCACCTATACTTACGAAAATTTCAAGACTGCCCTACTAAAAGCCTTCCCTGTTGTAAGGGATCGTGCGAAATTAGAAACAGAACTTTTCAGTATATATCAACAAAGAATGGAAAACCTCTCGAGCTTTATTTTAAGAAAAATTCCCGTTTTCAAGCTCTTGTATGGAAACCATCCGGAACCTGAGATAATTCAAGTCATTTTGCCGAGGTTACTGCCCCAAGTGCAAGACTTTATTGAATTAAGAAATCCGACTACACTGGAAAAGTTATTTGAGCTAGCAATCCAGTTTGAAAGTAGAAGAACGGCGGACATTGAAAGAAGACGCCAATATCAACAGCGAAACCAATTTGGTGCGCCAAGACCAAAGTCAAGCACACGGCTACGGAAGCAAAGCGAATCAGTGGGCAAGGAAACCCGAGCATTCAAAAACAGCCGGCGAACGTCGACAGTTCAATAGCAATCCAGGAAAAAAGTCTCAAGGCCAGTGGAAAAAGAAGGAAAGCACGGAAATGAAAAATAATTTAAACTAAAACGGATTTCTGCTGACGGGAGGGTGCGGAAATCCGAAGGCCAAGAAAACCCCTCTTCCTTCAAGTTAAATACAGTAATGGTGAAAAATTTGACTCTTCCGAAGATTGAAGTGTTGGTGAATAATATCCCAGCCACCGCACTCCTGGATACAGGCGCGCAGTGTTCCTGTGTGGCAGAAGATTTTTTTAGGAAGTATTTTCGTAAATATCGTATATATAATTCGGATAATACGACAGTGTTAGCGGCGCAAGGAGAAAAATGTAAGTGTATAGGTAAATTACCGCTGTATGTCCGTATCAAGGACGAACAAGTAAAGGTTATGTTTTTCATAGTAAAGAATCTGCAAGCACATATTATTTTAGGAATAGATTTTCTTTCAGAGGCACAAGCAACGCTAGATTTTAATGAAGCGTCCCTTAAGCTGACGATGAAACCAGTTCGTGGAGAAAAGGCTGAACCGCCGATGTTAAATCTTGACCACCTGCCTAATGACGAGCAAGGAAGAATCCGACAAGTGGTAAGTGAATTTGCTTCGTTATTTAGTGATATTCCAGGATTTACTCAGGTTACTAACCATAGTATTGACACCGGAGATTCAATGTCAGTTCGCCACAAAGCATACCGGTATGATAAGAATAAGGAAAAAATTATAGAATGGCATATCACCGATATGCTACGTAAAAAGATCATAACGCCCATCTCAAGTAGTTATGCTAGCCCGGTGGTTTTATGTAAGAAAAATAATGACTATCCTTTGACACATCCAAAAAGGTGGAGATTCGCAATTGACTACCGTAAATTAAACTCCATAACTAAATATCCGGTATATCCGTTACCTCTTATTGAAGAAATTCTAAGGAACATAACATCCACCAAATATATGACGACTTTAGACTTAACGACTGGTTATTTTCAAATAGGGGTTAGGCCTGAGGACGTGCCTAAGACTGCTTTTATAACCAAGTCTGGCACTTATGCATTTTTGCGTAAGCCGTTTGGCCTTTCAAGGGCAGCGGCAACATTTCAGCGATGTATGGACATTGTGTTAAGGCCTGTTCTTGGAAAGTCCACATTTATCTATTTAGACGATATCATTATTACTAGTGATAATCTCGACCAACATGTACAGGATTTAAGACAGGTGTTTTCTTTATTAAATGAGGCCGGTCTAAAAGTTAATGTCGAAAAGTGCAAATTTGCAGCCCCTGAATTAAAATATTTAGGTTACAAAATATCTCAGAAAGGAATCGAGACAGACGAATCAAAATAATCGCTGTACAAAAGTATCCGACTCCAAACACGGCAAAGAAGCTCTCTTCTTTTCTAGGACTTTGTTCATATTATAGGTCCTTTATAAAAGATTTTGCGGCTATAGCGGAGCCATTGTTAAAATTAAAAAGAAAAAAGGCAAGATTCTCGTGGACGGCCGAAGCCAATAGTGCTTTCGAAAAATTAAAACAAGCATTAACGCAAGCCCCTGTGTTGAAATTTCCTGAAAAGGATGAGAATTTAGAAATTTCAGCGGATGCTTCGGATTATGCGGTAGGAGCGGTACTTTCGCAAAATCAGCAGCCCGTGGCATTTTTTAGCCGAACTTTAAATCAAACACAAAGAAACTATTCCGCGACCGAGAGAGAGAGGCACTTGCAGTTCTGTTAGCAGTGCAAAAGTTCCGAGTCTATTTTGGAAAGGCGCCAATAACAGTGTACTCTGATCATGCGGCGGTAACTAGATTGTACTCAGGGAAAAAAACTTATCCCCAAGGTTAATAAGATGGGCACTCAAGCTGCAAGAATATAATCTGGTAATCAAGCATACCCCGGAAAGGAAAATATCGTAGCAGATGCCCTATCCAGAATTAAAATAGATGAAGAAGGTAATACCGTAAAGGTGGCAATGCTCACAGCATGTACAATAAATTCCCGAGAAACTGTAATAAACCGAACTAGGGTAAGGATCCTGAGTTTGGAAGCATTTATGAGTATTTAAAGGATCCTGAAAATTTTAGCCACCAAGATATTGTGGCGATAAGAAATAGGGCGGCCCATTACGAAACTAATAGATGGTCTATTATTCTATACAAAAACTACGAATTCCAACAACGAATTTCGACCTGTTATCCCAGCTAGTTAAATTAAATTAGATTAAATATCCTGCAGGAGTTGCTCCATGACAGCCCTTTAGCTTCTCATGCTGGTATTCGAAAAACTATCCAACGCGTACGCGAGGCAGTCTACTTTTCCTGAACTGCAAAAGTTAACAAGGGCGTATGTCCAGTCCTGCCCAACATGTCAAGCAGTTAATTATATTAATTTCCGCCCGGCCGGGTTTCTAAATAGTATTAAATCCGAATTTCCAAATGAAATAATTGGCATCGATTTATTGGGCCCTTTCCCAAAAAGTCAGTTAAATAAAAGTCGCTATCTCCTTGTTATGGTTGATCATTTTAGTAAGTGGACCGAAATTGTTCCCTTAAAAAAACGAGCCTCCGCGAAATTAGTTACTGATTCTATTTTAAATAAATATATTTTAAAATACGGGGCGCCCCTAAAAGTTATATCGGATAATGGTCCTCAATTTGTAAGTAATGTATTTGAAGACATATGTGCCAAAAACTGGGCATATGTCATTTAAAAATGGTCCCGTATCGGCCGCAATCAAATATAGTGGAACGGGTCAATAGAAATATAGTGAAAATTATCCGTAGTTATGTTAAAAATTTTCATAAAAGCTGGGATAACTATGTCAATGAATTTGCTTTCGCCCTTAGGACCGCAAAACATGATACAACGGGCAAAAACTCCTGCTGAGTTATTTTTAGGCAGAAAGGATTATAACGCCGTTAGATAAATTATTTTATGTGCAACAAAGAGCCCCAGAATTTAAAATGGGTGATATAGAAAAACTAATTAAAGAAGCAAAAAAGAATACGGAAGTAGCACAGAGAAAACAAAAGCTGTATTATGACTTGAAACGACGGGGAGTAACTTATAAAGTAGGGGATGAAGTATTAAAAATTAAGCATTCACTTTCTTCAGCACCAGAAGATAAAACTGCCAAATTTTTTCCACGATTTGAAGGACCATATGTCATAGAAAAAATAACTCACGCTGTAGTAGTGTTTAAAAGCCAGAAATGGTGAAACCTGCTCCGCAAACATTGATCAAATCAAAACCCTACTATGATCGTAATAAAATGCAAATTTTCAAAGATCTTTTGCAGGATCCGGCACGGCAGACACTGCAGGCACAAGCTCCAGAGGTGGAACAACGACAAGTACAAGGGCAAGCCATTAAGAGGCAGGAGCAAGTGAAAAGAAAATTTCCCCGCGGAAAAATTGAAGGTAACAAGAAAAAGAAGCCGTTCCACCGTCCAGAAAAGAGAGCTCACGAACACCCCCAGAATGAAGAAGGGAGAAGGACGACGTATGCAAAGAGAGCCAGGAGAAATGACGGCAACTATAACCCGGCTCTAAAACGGAAGATCTACTCATCCGACAGGACTCTCCGCAGCAAATGTCGCCGAACTGCGGAAGGGCCACCAGCGGCAGAGGAAAAGTT